GAATGATAGAAGTCTTTCTTCAACAATACTCGCAACATCTACCAAGACATCGAGCGCGATGCCCTTTCGTATGCTACCTCAAAACATGTTCCCACATAAGAGGTTTAACATTTCGTATATGCTCATTGCAAACGGGGTTTGGCTTGTGACCACAGAAACTAAATGAATTTGCTGTGAATTTAGTTGAACAGAGGCGATGTCTCAAAATTGCCATCACCGACATGGAGTGGACTGAGTGTATCATTGACGTATTACTCAAACATCTGTGACAGTAACACAGAATCAGTGTGCTGGTGACCTGAATCTGTGCCCCAGCTTTCTCAATTCCTCTTTATGTCAAATGCTAAAATAGGTTTTTTGTAGTTCACCAAAAACCGTGCGAAAAAATATTGGTCAGGGGATTCGCCAACCCATCACAGCTCCTCTTTATTATTTGATGCCCCACCAAAATAGATCATAAAGCCTTTGAGAGGACAAGCAGGAAATTAGCTATAATTTTAATGAATGGTGAGCGTACAAATCTGCCAGTACTTTCCTCGTCCCATCTACGGTCAGATGAATTCAGGTGAGTGTGTTTAGCGCATAAGGTTGTGGCAACTTTGCTAAGGGAGACAAAAATCGAAGCTGTCACATTGGAACAGAATGTTAAAGAGGTATTGGCAGAAAGGCGGCTGGAGCAACTGAAAGATAGGCGATGAATCGCATCCGAGTAGAGCCATACGTCTACCTTATTGTGGTGTAAAGAAGTGAGTAGATTTGGGTATAGTTTCGACGTGTCAACAAACAGATTGGATGAGTGACGAGTGATTCCACTGACGCTCTATGCTTCTCAACTTTACTAGCCTGACTTCTTTGCAGAAGTAGTGCATCCACCAATTTGGCAAACGCGATTGCTAATCTCTTTCCTTTCGGCAGCTGTACCTACTCACAACGGCTAGTAGAATGGTAGAACTCAACTACATTTTGAGACCGCATATTAAAGGCAGGCAGTGGAGGGGGTGTTCAAGTGTATCAATCCATCCAGCAGACAAACGCCACTACACGTGTGGGAGGTAGTTGATGTGCACCTTCATCGTCCTAAAGTTACCACAGCTGAAGTCTGTGATGACGGCCTGTGCTGTCATAATTCTTGATTATGGGTTGAGGTAGAATGAACGCTAGTGTCGACATAAATGAAAGGTTAAATGTAATAGCGATGATGGCCTTGTAAATGGGGTGTTGAAACAAGTATGCAGAGCTGGCTAGATGTCAATGTTTGACTGAGTATTCACCAAAATTGCCAGCATGCCAATGTGAGTAGATACTCAAAGCAATGATGAGGTATAAAGTCGACCCAAAGCTTCAAATAATTCCGCTCCTCATATTAATGAGTAAGGAAGGAGAACGAGACACCAATTCAACTAATGCAGCCTCAATGACAGGACTTCCATGACCTCCCCATAGCAGGATGACAACCGGTGGATGCGGTTTATCCGCCAGGTGTATGAGCTAGCTACAAGGAAGGAAATGCTGCCCAGTTGGAAGGACGCATCAATCGGTAGGCGATGTAATAAAAAGCACTTGGTCACTGCTTGCGATTCCGAGAAATCACTCGTCACATCCAATCTGTTTGTTGACACGTCGAAACTATACCCAAATCTACTCACTTCTTTACACCACAATAAGGTAGACGTATGGCTCTACCCGGATGCGATTCATCGCCTACCTTTCAGTTGCTCCAGCCGCCTTTCTGCCAATACTTCTTTAACATTTTGTTCCAATGTGACAGCTTCGATTTTTGTCTCCCTTAGCAAAGTTGCCACAACCTTATGTGCTAAACACATCGATTTGGTGCTTTTGTTGCGCGTTGCATCAATACGCCTTCATGGTTTAGTGCAGGAAATAAGGCTTGACATGAAAATGCAGTTCAGTTCAGTTCAAATACATGAGAGGTTTCTGACGTCCTTTTATGAATCCACAATGGAACAGATGAACTGGTCCAACAAGGCATCCAACCAGACATGGCAAGACTAGTCAAAACTCTCCCTGGAAGATAATGTTTTGTGGTAGTATGACGGCACCGTGACTCTTAAGAACCCTGTAGCTCCCAGCTGGATATTATAAACCGTCCTATAAAAGTTGTACGTAGTGAGAATGTGCCAGTTAAGGTCTCAAGGAAGGCATACTGACGGTACCCACTTGCTCAGACGCTTCTGATCTCGCACTCATCGCACCCAAGATACCATACACAGCTCAACTGGATTGTTAGCATTCAAAATGCTCAAAGGTTGTAAAATTTGGGTTCTTTCCCACGTTCTACAATTCAAATTGGAAGCATTAAGTAATATTGCGAATGAGTGCGTACAGGATCTGAAGAAAGGCATAAGGGAACCATCATTTACAACCACATAAAACCCTTGCAAACGCCGCATAACAGGCAAGCGACCTTGTTTAAACACACAAACCAATTCTCCATTGGAGTCTTACCAGAAATTCCATCCGCCTCCCCTTTCTTTGAAGTAAAGAGTTCGCGTAGTGAATGTTGACTCACCTACAAATCGAAATGCCGTAATAAGCTACTCCTCCACACAAGCACCTACTATCAAACCAGATACAATAACAAACTCTACGCAGTGGTAAAAAAGTTAACACCATTGGATAACATAATTGGAGGCAGCTCCTCGGAGTCGATGCTCGAAATTGAAGGGGGCTTACGTAGTAAGTTTAAATGCAACTTTTACGCAATAGGCGAGATTTCGTTTCAGATGTGGCGCTGGAGGAGCAGGGAATCCTTCATGCATTGACACTTTTTTGTTCTTCTACACAACACCAAGTATTTCACTCTCTTTGCCCCTCCAATGCTAAATTTCCACGAAGGCGTCAGACGTATAAGAGGCTTGCCAAAAAGGGATGTGAAAGAGGAAGATGAAGTTCTAACAATTCATTTCGTAAAAATTCCAAAAATTAGATAGCAAATTTGAATCGAACGTTTTTCATGTAGCACTGTAACAACAAATCGTCAACCACATCCCTGTGTTCGTTCTTAAAAGTCATGATTTTGAGCAGTTCTCAATTTTTTATGCCGTAACATTTACGCGGTGTACAACTTACCACTGTCAAGTGCACTCTGCCCTTGCATTACAACTCTTGACTTGGGGAGAAATTTTCGACACCTAGGTTCTCAACATCAAGATGGAATTCATGAGAATGTTCCCTTTGCCTGGGCCTTAAGACTACCAAATCAACAGTTTTACTCCCCAATGTTTTAGCCAACGTGCAATGCCTGAGCAATCCGTACCTGATAGCAAACATCACGGCACAGCCATCAGGAGGTCATCAACAAGGTGAGGCACAACCACGGACGGCATGACCTTATAAAGAATCACGTGAGCTGGTCGCTCCTCCGACTTTTTAGTTCGTTAGCTAAACTCACTGATTAACCAGCATTGGCCTCCGGCGCATGTCTGCGAGATTGACATTCTGCGACTGTTATGACGATTGGAAACGGCGCTGCTGTGTGAGTGTTCAAAGCTGCATATCGGTCGCGTGCTAGACTTGGAACAAGCTACTCACTTGGAGGAGAGCTGCGACTACCTTGTGAATCGACCGCGGTATTCAGAATCAAGCTGTTGCTTGATGGACGGTTATTGACGTTGGTTTGAAAAGGACCAAAATTTGCCCCATTAATGTTGCGAGAGAGGGAGCAGTATAGCATTAAAAGCATAGGACTCTCGAATTTCACGTGACCTTTAGTCTCATGTAATTTAATCGTGCAAAATGAAGTGAGCAAAAAAAACAGGGTGCACTTTGCAGACCGAACTAGTATACATCTGTTTCCTAAATGCAGACATTTGTCTAAGTAACTTCACCTACTCTGTGCAAAAGACGATAAAACTACACAATGATCGTTTTTTTTAAATTAGCTGCTACCCTTGTTGCCTCGATATTTCTCTCCGATCCATGCCGAGAGTTAAGGGCCACAAACGCAAAATTAAAGGCGAAAGTACGTCACGACATCAATGAGATGCGAAATCTTCTGCCTACTGACTATCAAACGGATTGTCTTCCGTTGATCTGGAATAGATGGCACCATTGATTTCAGTCAATAAAGCCCGGAAATAGCAGTTAATCATCTTGAATAGCTCCACGCCACTACTACCCCGTAAATTGCTAAGTGACACTTTTTGAACTCTGACTGTATAAACAGGTGCGAGTGAGCTCCCCTACACTGAATTTACAAGCAATTTTAAAAGCAGGTTCTCTCTTGTTACGGCCAATGAAGTGTTCTTCCTTCAGCCACATAAATGGACCCTGAAACAAGGCTGTTTTTTTACTTGCTCACAGAGGTGAACTGTTTGGGACTCACCAAAATATACCCTCAAGTCGTAGAAGTATTTAATCATCACAAACCGACGACACTCCTCCAATAACAGCATGGTAGCAATGTGTGCGACAAGGCGAAGGCATTCAACGTAACTTAGCAGCTTGTGATTATTTTTTGACACCGCAGTCAGTGAAATTCTTCCAGTTCGTGAAATTTGACAAGTTTAAAAAATATGAGCTAGTTTTATTCCATTTTGCTACCCATAAAATTCGTCACAACCACCAATCAAAAAGACTTCCCACTAAAAGTCGAACTCCAAAGTGGCATATCAGAAAATAGTTGAAAGTTTGTAACTGAAACTTAAGCTGACTGTTAGCCTAGTAGCTATTCGAGAAACAACAAACTTACGTTATATCCAATGAACAGCTCTGCATCTATAACTCTGAAGTTGAGCAAGCTGTCATGAATCAGGACCACCAAATTCTTGGCAATCCCCCATAACTGCAAACCAAGAACAACGGCAGAAAACTTAATAAAGCTGATAACGCACAACAAGTAGCACTTAGAGCGAACAGACATTAGCACCAAGTCTGATACATTCATTCAAACCAGGTATAAAAATAGTAAGAATAACATCACAATGAGGTATATGAGAGAATGCAATCGACAAACAACAATATAAGCCACGCTTATCCCACTAGAACGCCGGTGGATCCTCCTGATGTGGCGGAGTGCCAGTGGTGAATGCAGGCAGTGGTGTTGGATCAACAACACCATCAAAATTGCCCTCATAGATAGCCCGATGCGACCCTTGCACCGCAGTCTGCCGCAGATTCAATGGTGACACCCCCAGTGGTATCGCAGAATGTTGAGGAAAATCTGCAGAGAACATGAAATCAGTTTCAACATAATGTCGAAGTCATTCAAAACTCACAACTCCGGTTCGTAAATTCCCATCCAGTTATCTGCGGCCCACAATAAGCATAGGACATGGGAGCCACATTCCAAGAAGCAAACGATATCGGCTGATGCTGTATGAACTGCATCGACTGCCGCGAGATTGTTTGATGAGATCCCAGTAATGATGGGCGCAAAACACCCCGTTGTGTTGATGGAGGTAGCGATTGTTGATAAGTTATGGGCCGACCGGACGAGTAAGCGTTGCGTAAACCGGCACTCGGGACACATCCTCCTACTCCACCACGAGGCCTCGATACAACGCCGACACCAGACCGAAAAGCTCCCTGCCGTGAGAGATGATTCGAACGCCCATTATTGAAACCAGATCCGCCCCAACCTACAGAGTTGTGAGACAGGTAATTAAAATGATACGTGAAAGAGGAAAGTGTGGTCGTTGTGACCTTGAAAAGCCAGAGTCTGAAACCAACAACCTGAGAAATGTTCGGTAGCGCCGTGTTGTAATAACATACCTCTTCAAACAGTACCTCTTACCAACTGCCAAAACTGGAGGTAATTGTCACACGCGTCCGTTACAAGTCACTCGTTACATGACTAGAGTGAGTTCATAATAGATTCCGTTAAACAAAAGGCCGAATGATAACGCATCACCTCTTAGGAGACAAGTGCATGAACACGCTAGACGATAGGTATGATAACCAAACCGAGGTTTTTCCAACGTTTCACAATCGGCCATCACAATGGCTTCTCCCTGCTATGCCACTACTTCATTCTTCGGCTAATCAAACAGTGAAGTTCCATCTGGGAAAAATTGAAAATCAACATTTATGATTTTGATGCACATCTCACCTCGCCTATTGGCACAATTGGACCGCTTGCCCTCAAGCTTTCGTCTGTGCGCATATTCCTTCTCATCATCAGAGAAATCCTGCTGCTACAAGGAGAAGAAGACAATAAGCAGCTGTCGATAGAATGAATAGCCAAGGGAGAACACGGACATCTGGTGAGATCTCCTCGTCCTTCAGACCAGAAGCGTCAGATCCACGAAGTTTCGATAGCTCAGAACACAGAATCTTTATGCTGAGAGCAGGATCGTCCAAGACGTAGAAGACCTCGTCTCCCACACTGACTTCCACACTCAACTTGGGGAGGTCCTGTGCAGACCGGGCCTCTGTCATTGCAGCAGCACTACATGTCACGGTTGTACTTGCGGTAGTGTCGTTTACGGTAGTCCGCTCACTGCGCGCCTTCAAAGGCCTGCTCGGTGGCTGTCGATTCTCATGAACCACCACATAGAATGGCGACCTCACTGGACCAATTGTATCATACACCTTAAAACAGTGTTTAGTTATGGAGGAACTCCAAACGACGAAGAGCAGGATATGGAGGAAGAAAGGAAATTAACCACATGTAATTGCTATACGCACCTCACCAAGCGGTCTTCGGTTTTGAAGATAGAGAGCAGAGCCCTTATCCAAAGGAGACAAGTTGGGCAATGATGCAATGACAACTACAGGGAAAGTCATAAGGCTAAGGATGTGCAAACTCACCACAGCCTTTGATGACACTAGAGACTTTTCCCAGAACTCCTAATTTAACGTGCTCTGACTGCAAAAGATGATAAATGAAACCAACAACATTACCAGTAATCTTGGTAACCGGGGTACATATTTGGGGTCAATATCCAAAGGCAAATCGAAGACCTTCTGTTCAGAACAAAGAGTCAAGGTTATAGTAAAACTTATGCATACCGAAATATGGACCGGCGGTGCTGCAACAGGTTGCCGAACACTGTCCTCGTCACTGCTGCTACTGATGGGCAGTTCTGAGTCAACATCATCTTCAGAAAATTCCCTCGCATTGCGGTAACTCTGCTAAATGGAATGAAGGGACAACGTTGAATGAATGAAGTCCACAGAGAGCGGAAAACGGGTTTGCAAATAATTAAATAACCCGGAACGCTCGCTTTTGGAGCGGGATAACCTTCACTTTGGACAAGTTAACCTCGATTTCCTTAATTTTAGAAGTGACGCATCAGCCAGGGTCAAATAGACAGTTTAATAAAGATTGTCAAGGTGCTTGGAAGTCAAGCTTACGCTTGTTCTCAATCAGGCATGAAAAAGCAGACCAGATCGATAAGACTACGCTAGTCAATGAGGTAGTAATACTCACATCCATTGACACCAGCTGGAAAGAACCGGGATCCGATCCATCGCTTGTAAATACGCTTAATATGTCTGGGATAGTGATATCGGCAACACTATCGAATTCGCTTGAAGCTAATTCAGATAATGACAGCGATGCCTCTACCAAGGCATCCGGCAACAATTTATCTTCTGGTGTTTCCTGATTAATAATTAAATGCATGAAGAAAAGCCCTCTGTAACCAAAGGGTGGCAATAGAATAATAAGCTAACAAGCTAAAGTTAGACGGTACAACAGGAGAAAATACAGCAAGATGTACATGAAACGATGCTATGCAAGGCATTCAGTAGTCTAGGTTAAATGCTACTTTATGATAAATAACCATTGCAAACGTCGCTATGACGAAAATTGGACAACATGCATGAACCGAGGGAACCTAGAAATGCGTAATTCACGATCCTTGATGTATGCTTGAATATACAAGGTGAAACAGCATGAACGCAAAAGTATGCAAATCTGTGCAAAAGTAAAGCTAAGAACATGTAAAAAACACCGCAAAGAAATCCAGTAAAACTAAAACAGCCCAAACAATGGACACGGCATCAAGCCACTCTTAGACTAATACTATTTGCAGTTCGCAGAACAATTAAAACAAATACAATGCTAAAGATTTTGAAGTAGGCTAAAATTTTATTAACCACAATCTGTAACCTAAATGGTAGATAACAACAGGGTATCGTGCAGCATGCATTTTTCGATCTCCCTCAAAAAGTTGTATATACAACCTACAATATGAAGTTCTACACGTGAGCAACTTGTGGTATGCAATAATTTGTAAACGACTCTGACAAAACCATCCTTATGATGAATAGAATTCGTATTCATTGTGTGGTTCAAAATGTCGCCTGAAGCAAGCATTACGGACTTGCAGAGAAACAGGGGGGGCTTTCCAATTCTCCTTCGATCATTTCCCAAAATTAATCGTCGTTCCATCACAACCATAGCTAAATCTGAATTGGTCCCATAAGATAAGGCGATTCGTCCCATGCGCCCTTCTGATTCGATAATCCATAATCCCCCAATAGTGTAGCACTCCGTACTCAAAACCGGGTGGAAGAAGGCAGTAAGCGAAGCCGAATGCATGAATTCCAAAGAAGGCAGAGCAAATCGGCCTAAGTATGACTCGAAGGCCAGCCCACGAGTACAAGAGCCAGAATGTAAGAGCTACCTGTCTACCCTCTGGTCCCTGAACCTCAGACTTCAAGAGGCAGTTGGTTGCAAACGATTTATTAGGCATCGTTATTAGGAAGGATGGGAAATAAGGCACAGATGAGGTGAGTAGAAGATATCAATCGGAGAGAGACTCCTCGCGTTCCCAATTGGTTCCCGCCTATCACCTATAAAGTCCACTTAAAAACTAGTGTATATTACACCGACAAACCCTAAAGTGACCACCGAATGTCAGATAGTCAAATAAACAAAGCAATACACTGCTCCTCTTTT